CTTCAATAAATACTTTTGCCACAATTGATACATACGTTTAGGACAAATCATCTGATATGTGTTCGTACTTCTTAGTTCTAACTCTACACATATACTCCACCATTAAGTTTCGAGGGTCAAAAGGTTTATTACATATGCATATGAGAAGAGATCTTGCCACCCTAGCTTTAAAAATTTACAAAAAAATTACATATTTTTTTTAATGTTTCTCAACTATTTTAGTCATTTTCTCTCTGGTTATGAAATGAATCCAAATTTGCAATGCTAGCGAAAGTGAATTCCGTCACTCATGAGTATTTCTCATTTTAAATTCATTCAGGACAAATTTAATGTCGTTCACTGTTTTATTACATTATGTTGTATTAGTACTTTTATTCTTGCTGATTTTGAAAAATTGCCGCTACATAATCGTTACTTTACCTTTATAAATTAAAGAAAATCGGGGTCTGTTTTTCAGTTTTTGTTACAATTTATTTACAGTATTAAAGGTGCAAGATATCGTATTAAAATCAGTTATGTTAAATATTTTAAATATATGTTTATTTTATTATACACTGCCAGTGATGTTGTATATTAATTATCTTTCAAACACATTTTATATTTTTGTTGTTGAATGTTATGCAGTGCCATTAATAATCATTAAAAAAAATAAATATTTTAATTACCTTTAGTTGTTGTCATTTAGGCAAATGAAAATTTTTTAATTATTTTATAGTTAACATTTTGAACTTTTTATATTAAATAATTGTTTTAAAGTAAGATTCAGAATCAGTTTTTAAATCTCCTACCCATATTAATGCTTAGTTTTTTTTTGGTTCATAAACTTTGCTAAAAATTCTCCATAATAGCAAAAATGGAATAAATTTGGGGGGAGAAAGAAGAAAAAAAAAGTTTTTTTTTTTTTTTGAAAAATTTTTTTAATATATTGTTAAACAGTAAATACATGAAACAGTCTGATTGACTTTTGACCTAATGCTTGAATTTTCACTAATTGAATCTCAATCTTAATGGTTTGTAGGCCAAATCCTAAAAGTGCTAATTAATTAACGCTAGCAATATTTTAAGTTACAAAATTAGATACTGAATGTACTTTCTCTAAACTAACATACCTTTATTTGACATATTTGGATTTCTGACACTCAAAATATGGGGTAGTTAAAATATCGTAAATATGGTTAGGTGAGAGATAAAAGGTTTAGACCCCTTAAGGAGAAATATTGAAAAATGAGAAAACTAGGAAAACATCAATAGTTGAGAGAGAATATAAATAAAGATGGAAAAACAGAACAAAAAAAAAACACTGTGGCTGAGAGGGACAAAATGCATTTCCACACGCTATGGGTAGGAAATGAAGAACTAATATGTTTACAAAGGAATTTTTCATATGAATAAAACGAGATTCTTGGGCATCAAGATGAGCTGATGCAACTGGAAATTTTGCACTGATAATTTTAGCGTTTTTAAAATTGAATTTATGCCCAAGATTTCAACAATGTGCAGCAATTGATGATTTCTAGTATTCTTGATAAAGGACATATCTATTACGTTCCTTAAATCTAAATTTTAATTTCACATCTAATTTGCCTGATGTAGCCAAGGTTGTACTGGCAAGGAATTTGGTAAATGTTCCAATGATTATCAAAACTGGTAGGATCATTGAGGGACTTAAATTTAATTTTGTTAACATTAAGCGCTTGAAGCATGTTAAATGTGTTATTTCCAATTTACAGTAGAGCCTGTTTAAGAAGTTCCCGTCTAAAAAGTTTTTCCACGTTGGAAGTTATTTTCTAGAAAAACCAAATACTATAATGTTAAATTTACTTTTATAGGAAGTTTTTTTTCCTGTTTAAGAAGTTTTTACTCCCTTCCACTTTTCATTTTTTTTAAATGTCTTATCTTGTTTTCCTTATCTAGTTACCTTTCTGTCACAAAAACAAGTATGTGAATTAACAAAGACCACTGACCTTCCTTGCTCATCCATTTCACAAAAGGTGATTTATCCACAGCAGGTGTGAGCAAGGAATGTGATCCATTAGATGAACAATGAAACTGATAAGAATATGGGGAATCCCTTGGACATTCTGTCCACCATAAATGAAAAACTGAAAGCCTGATGACTCATGCATACCCACCAAACTCTATCTTTATTCTACAACTGATGAATCAGGGAGTTATCAAGGTATTTAAGCAGCATTATAAAAGATGACTTATGAAAAGGATGCTAAAAGGGCTTATGTTCAGCTGAAGGAAGGCTGCTGGACAGGAGAGCTGAAAAAGTCAATGTTTTAGAAGCGATTGAGTTTATTGTATCGGCATGGGAATTAATATCATCTATAATTGCTAATTATTTTCAAAAAGCTGAATTCTCTGAAGAAACAAATGAAAATTTTGATAATGATTGGAATTCGCTCCAAAATAAACTTAATTTCACTGCATCGTTTGAAGATTATATATTAGTCTTTCTGGTGCTAGAAAATGGTTGGAAACTATCAACAAATTCATTTACAGTGTTGAAAATGTGCCCCTGGAAATGTTCAAATATTTACAGCAGTTGGACAATTTTCAGTTAAAGGTTGGTGAGAAAAAACAAACTACTTTACATGATTTTTCCTCGCAAAAGTCTCGTCAATAATTGTACAAATATGTGCATCTCTGTGTAAATAACATTGGATAAAATAAAGTAGGTATTAGTTATTTTTTTCTAAATAAATAGTAAAATTAAATATTTATTCCATCATGTTGATTCTGTAATATAAGTCATACAATTTTAAAAATTTTTAGTTTTTAACCTTTACCATTTAATAAGTCATATCTTTCTACTCCCTTGAAAAACTTCTTATGTGGGTTCCACTGTATATATTTTTGACGCAAATTAAGTTTTTAATCAGGTAATATTAGGTTATTAAAAAAGTTCTACAACACTTGCGAAAATTTCAACTCTTATGAATTTTCCTTTTGTGTTTTTAGTTTAAACTTTCACCAATAAGCTCTAAGCGACTTTGGATAAAACTTAACTTCGGGTTTGGTTCGTTATAGCTATAAACAGGATCTTGCTGCAAGAGAGATGCAGAACTTGTTTAACAACCTTATATCTTACCACTTCAGTTTCTTGCGATTATTTTAATGTGAATTTGTTGCTGTGTGTCTTATCATTGAACAACTCTTCTTTCTTTTTCCCAAATTAAAAACTTGCTTGTTTTTATATAAAACTAAGTAATGTAGATTGAGGGAAATATTTTTATTAAAATTAGGTAAGTAATTAAACTAAACTTTTGAAGATGCTTTAAGTTACTGTAACTACTGAAATTTTCAAAATTGGTATAAGTTTAGTTTTTAATAAATTGAAGAACTTTTCTTTATGTTCCATACCAAATTAATTAGCATTAAGACGAGTCTTTAACGCTAGATATATATTCAGAGAATTTTAATATCTGATAAACCTTTAAGAACCCCCAAGGGGTCACGTCCTACAGGTAGACCTCCTACTAGATGGCTCAACGACATCAAAAATGACCTAAAAACCCTAAAGATTACAAATTAGAAGGGAGTTACCATGGAAAAGAGGTGCTGGCATTTGTCTGCTGTTGAGGCAGAAAAGGCCTGTTGCGCTGACAAAGAATAAGAAGATTTTCTTATAAGTAAAATATATATAAAGAAAAACATGCATTTAAGAAATAATTATCTTTATTTGTGATAAATACATTTAGTTATAATACATTTAGTTCTGAGATACATGTTTAAAAATATACAAGTTTAACAAGTGTTGATCTCACATCACTTTGGTTGAAGCAGCGAAGCATTCAGAAAGGAGCTGAGCTTTTACCTACATTAGAAAAAATTATGAATATCTTTAGTTTACAGTAAATAATTTGTTATTTAATCATTGCATAGCAAAATACTCATCATTTTAAGTAAACTAAGAAGATTCAAAGTATTTTAAAAAATTGCACAAACAAGAAATTTTAAAAGAAAAATAATGTTATATAACCAGCCAAATATTTTTTTCAATAATTAATATTTTAAATCAAGGAATTCAAAACATACTATGATCAACAAATTTTAAATATATATATATATATCAATTAATTATTGATAGAAGATGAAATATCTATAACATATACTTCAATAGAAAATCAATTGTTTCAATTTTACCCTGTTGTGTTACTTATTAAATTTAATAAGAAATATATTGTATATAATGATGATTCATTTCTTTTGAAATTACGTACAGAACTTAATTCTAAATATTTAAAGAAAAGAATTTCATGATTTATAATTCAACAAATAAAAATAAATGGTAAATATGGATATAAGTATTTTAATTTAATAGGGAAGTGCAGTAAATAATTTTTAAACATGGAATTGATTATCTGCACTACAATGGATACATTAAATTAATTGAATTGAATGAACTATTATGCTTTGTGAAATATTTAAAGCATTTATACAGATTGAGTAGAGATAGAAAAATAAGATATTAAATGGAACATTAAAAATGTAATTTAGATTAAGACCACAAAATTACAAATTCCATTTTAAAGAAAAATAATGATTTTGAAAAGTTTAAATTTAAACTGTGTGATTTTATGTTAATACAAGATATGTCCTTACATTTAAATAATATTTTTGTGTTTATTTCTTAGATATCAATTCCCTTACTTTGTTCAATTGGTCTTTATATAACTCTAAAAATACTTAAAGACATAACTCACTTAATTAAAATGGATTTTTATACCTATATTTAGAAAAATATTTTAAATTTGTATCTACTCTTGAAAGTTGGATTAAATAACAGATTATTAAATGTCTTCCAAATAAATCTTTTCTTCATAATTTTTTTTTAAAAGAAATTGTGTGTTGGGAGGAATTTTAGCATTGTATCAAATATTCATGGACATTGAGGAGCACTGGTTTACAAAATACTATTTACTGGGAACAATTCTATTAAAATTATCTACCATCTTTTGGAATATATAAATTTATTAAAATAATGAAACCAAAGCTTATAAAATTATAGATGGCTCAATCACAGAAAAAAAAATGCTGAACTTTTGTTCAAATTGGTGAAAACTTTAGTCTCTTAATTACTTATAATTTGTTGAAAAAAAGTCAATCTTAATAAGTAAAGCAAGACTTGCTTATAAGGATTGATTTTTTTCAACAAATTATAATAATTATCAAACAATTTAATGATTACTAAACCATTAAAGTTTTTTTTACAAAAATAATACTTTTTTGTAACTGAAAATAAAATTTATAATTTTTTTTATTTAATTTAAATCATTAAAAAGTTTCTTTGAAAACTATATTGAGACAACATGCCTCGACTTGATACAACAAAATTTATAACTGACACCAATAATATAAAAATTTGTTAAGTGGGAAATTCTAGCTTTGATATATTAATGTCATAAATGTTAAAGCAGAATATTCTTATATTTAAAAATAATTTTCAAGTTTAGTTAACAAAGTTATTTTTTTCTCAGTGGGGAAAGTTCTTATTTTTTGTTTCTTTGTTCCAAAGCTTATGAAAATCAAATCATAATATTGGTGTCATAATTTATTATTTAGGGTAATTATTATTCTGATCAGTTTGGGTTCCAGTTACAGAACATATACTTTTATGATCAGTATTATCTCTATATACATATAATTTTTATAAAAAGAGCTCTTTTGCCCAATAAAAGTAAACGAATCACTTCTTTCAACTACAAACTTGTATTATTGTAATTACTATTATGAACAAAGATATTAACATAAATGATATAACTTTACCTCTTTCTTACCAAACTACACTCAAGACAACTTAAAAACCAAATTATAAACTTATGCAAAAAAATTAATCACCGTAAAAGAATATACAATTTTAAATAGCTTTCAATAAATAACACTATTATTTTGTATTCAAGTTTTAAAGAAAATTCTGTATTACTTCTTAGACAAGGCTATTCCAATAGATAATGCTCCTCCTATTACGAGTGCTGCTCCTCCAACAATAGCCATTCCCCATAAGCCTTCTATAATATTTAATAAAATTAATATGCCTTACTTTTTACATGGTACTAACAAAAACAGTTTATTATTATTATCATTATCATTTTTTTTTTGAAAGATATAATTTAAACGAATTTTTATTTTATTCATTAAAGCTACAGGAAAGAGACTTAAGCAGCAATTTAATATCAGATTTGATTAGTTGCTTTCAATGTTAACTTTGACTAACTTTCTATTCCTTAACAAATTTGTTGCCAACTGGACACAGCTGTTCACACAGTAATTATTATGTATAAATGATATACTATACTGACTAAAAATAGAGCTATATTTCCCCATCAAAGTAAGGTAAAACAACGTTTAAGAGCACAAAAATGATATTTTTTGTGCTCTTAAACGTTGTTTTACCTTAATTTGTATTTCAGCACAAAGGTCGCCCTTATGTGTATTTATATTTCCCCATTTTGAAATTTCTGGAATAGAAAATTATTTAACAGAACTAGTTTCTTGTAGATTTTTGAAAATATGTGCATAAAAAAATTAACACCAGGAAAATTATACTTTTATATTTCACGCAAGCATGCATTTTTACAAGAGAGTTTTAGAGAAAAGAGACTATGCTATCCTTTATAGAATTTGATTTGAACCATGTGATTTTATTTAAAGCTAATTTTCAGTATGTGTAGCATAGAATATTTCATTATTAAAATACTTCGAGAGCAAAGAAGTAAAGTCTGGACACTTTTAACCCAAGTTCATTTAAAAGATATGTATTATTAATAAAACAAGAGCCAGACATGGCTACTCCATAACAAACTCATGGTAAGAATAAACAATATTGCCTAAACATAGTAAGTAGCAGTATTAATTTTATGACTTGCGAGCATCTGAATTTATTATCAGCCACTTTCCCATTGATAAACTTGGGTTCAAGTGAACCTACCCTGGCAAAGAAATACTTAGAAAACTAAAGTTTACATTATTAGAAATTTTATTCATACCTGTCTGCATTTTGTCTTTGACATATTTTTGCAAAGTCTGAGCTTGTCTATTTGTTGGTTCAACACTTAAAAACTTTGACAACAGCTGGAGGGCTCTATTATAATCCTAATTTCAAAAAGATGAATTAACAGCAAAATTATTCTAAACATTTATTAATAAAAAATAAGGATTGAAAGAATAACAGTGAAAAAATTAATGATTTAAAACTACACAGTATTGAACGCATAACTAAAAAAATACTAGAATTAATAATAAAAAAATTCATTAAGAACTGTGCTGCCCTATTAATTTTTAAATTGAATGTATGCATGTACAATAATGATTGAATATATGAATTTAGAATAATAAGATCATGCTTGTGAAACTTACCTTTAATTTTGTATGCCCAATAGCAAGGTAATACATATAATCTCTTTTTTGTAATGCATCACCACTTTGAAAAAGATCTGAATAAAAATTATTATTATTAAAATAAGCTGAACGTAATAAAAAAATATTAGGGAAAATTAAGTAAATAATAAATAAACAGTTTACACATCAGTTCTTAAAATATAAAGCAAAACTAATATTAAATTTTTGTTTAAAAATATTTCATAAAATATAATAAACAAATTTTTTACACAGCAAATAATATTATGTTTTTTCAATTAATTTAATTATTTAAAAATAATATATAAAATATATAAGAAAAAAATTTATAAAATTAAAATACTCGTTGTTTGAAATATGTAAGCACTTTTTTTATATTTTCTGTTTTTATCAAATTACTTTTACATTGAAAAGATTTTTTAATTATATTTTTCAGTATTTAAAATTATTTTAACATTTAGGTTACCATATATCAGTGGTTACCAACTGGGAGCCCGCGGGCCACATCCGGCCCGTGAAGCTCTTTTTTGTGGCCCGCGAACTAAAATATATTAGTTGTCATTTTTCGTAAAAAATTTATATCGGTTTAAAGTACTCTTCTTTCGTTAAAAAAAAAACCCATAATTTCTTCGTTTCTGTGAAATTTAACATACCAACGGTGCAAAAAAAATTTTCACAGGTGAAAATATACTTCTTATTCTAATTTGTAATTCAATACTTTTGTTTTGTTCAACCTGATAAAAGTCTGACAGTAATATTTATTGTTCCTTTAAACATAAAAGAGTTCTATATAAAATTTTGAAAAAGTTAAGGCCCACCATTTGACTGCTGTTTTTAATTGCGGCCTCATGTAAGTTGGGTACCCCGGCTATATATAATACCAGTGATACTGGAAATCAATATGACTTGTAACATGTGATCACCTCTAAATTCAAAATCATAAAAATTTATATTAGCTCATCAACTCTTGGAATGTCTCACTGTTTTCTTTTTTTCCTCAAAGGGAAGTAGAAGATCTTTCCAGAATATTTAGAAATAATTGCTGTAAAAATTAAAAAATTGGAACAGCTCTCACTTTGAAATGTTTACATTGCTATTTTCATGAATAACTTTTAGGCTAGGTTAAAACACTATTTTTAGTTCCTTTTATTTATATTTTTTCATTTAATTAACTCTGCATTAATATAAGGATAGCAGTCAAAATCATTTCAATTTCATTAAGGTTCTTTCAACAGCATTATCAAAAGCTTTTCTTTTTTTTTGCTTTGCACACAAGTATATTTCATTCTAGCAGTTTTTTTGTTTATGACTATCCACATTCAACTGCGTAGTATCGTAATTTTGAACCTATCTCAGCAAATAAGAAAACTGATCAGCAGATAAGAAAACTGGATCAAGCATTAGTACAAACTAGACTTCATGGAGAACTTTGATGAAACTTTTTTTTTTTTGAACCAGCATTTGCAATACATGAAAAAGGAAACCATCCACAGTTAGTTTGACAGTAAAGCAAAATTCATTTTAACCAGCCATGGCTGAGATTCGAACCTGGTCTCATTAAGAAACAAGAGCTCAATCCACTGAACAACACAGACTGTGCATAAGAGTATAGTTGATAACCACAAACAAACTTAAAATGCATTTTTTTAACCTATACCTGCCACACACTTTTTGATTATTAGTTAATACAGCAAAGAATGACACTAATTCCCTTTATTCAATTTTAGGTTAGCAACATGGTGAAATATTTATAAATAGATTCTATAAATAATAATTACATGTGATGTATTTTTTATAAATAAAAATACCATCTAAAAACTTAAATCCTTTTTTCAGAAAATTAATCGTATTCACATTTTGTGAACTGCACACAACATCAGAGAATAAATTCACCAGTATTGTATTTATTTTTCCCAGCTTCTATTATATAAATTGAGACTGTCATCATTTTCATGATACATTGTACAGTGGGCAAAAAAGCAAAAAAAGATATCCTGAATAACTTTCGTTCTAATGATCGAATTTTCTCGTACTGACTGTCAATCTTAATGGTTTCTGAGGGTGACTTTAATTTAAATATGCTAATTAATTAGTGCTAACTATTAATTAAGTTACAAAATCAGACAAGAATGCATTTTCTATGATAAACACACACACGCATATATATATATATATATATATATATATATAAGTTCAAAATGTAGAGAAAACATGGAAAAATTACAGAACAATGAAGAAAGATAATAATAATAATGAAAGTCCAAAGAAGAAAAATTATTAATATTTTTTTCTTTTTTCATAAAAAAAAGAGTAAAAAAGATTAGCAATCAGTTCCTCGTAAATTATCCACATTTAAATATTAATCATCCCATTTAAATATTTCTTTATTGTCACCAAATTATTTATTTAAAAATAACTCATTTTAACTCTTCCCCGCTTTTCCAAAATAAAAGAAGTTTAAACTTTAGATTTTTCAATAGAAAAATATATAGATTAATATGGGATAAAAAAATTCATACCTCCTAATTCAAAATGTTTCCATCCTCAATTAAATTAAATCATAAAAAATAATAAATAATTATTAAAAATTATTTTTTGCTGAGATTATCTATGGGATAATAGGTTTCATGAGTTAGTGCAATTTCTTTCTTCTTTTTTTTTTTTTTGAATTGCTTAAATAGTTTTTAAAATATGACTAAAAACGCAAAAAGTGAAATCAACATTAGGGGTCCAAACTCTGGATCACTTTTCTGACCAAAAAAATGTGGACCATATTTCCCAGATTGCAGCTACCCCCTAAATTTTGAAGGTTAAGAATCCAAAGATGCAAAAAAATATATGTTTATTCAGAGAAAACGCACTTTTACGTCCAATGTCCTAACTTAATTAATAGTTAGCACGAAATAATTAGCATATTTGAGGTCACTCCCAGGAATTATTAAGATTGACACTTAGTACATGAAAATCTGATCATTTGAACAAAAGTTATTCATGTTGATATATTTCCCCCCCCCCCCACTCTACAACTAATGTAGTCAGACATGTGATCCGGCTATTAGAACTAAAATTACTGAACTAGTGCATTGATGGAAATTTTTCAGAATATTTTAAGCATTTAAGGTGTTTCTACAAAAATTTTCACAGCTTTTTTGCACTAGAAAAATAAAGGAAATCCTTTTCAAAAATTGCAAATTCAATGAAAACACTAAAAATCATATGTCTGAGTAATAGTTTACCTTCAAGCAAAACTACACCTCTTCGAATATCAGCCGCATATTTACTTCGTATTAAGCACCAAGCATAATCAAATTGTTCTCTGGTTGTGACCTTACCGTTGTGCAAGTTGGAATTATACACAGCTTCAAATTTCTAAATTGTAAAACAAATATTTCCTTTTAATCCTAATATTTATAACAGAATTTTTCAACATAAACAATAAAATTAGAATCAGACAACAAAACTAAACTGGCAATATTTCATCAACACATAATATGCTTTTTATTAGCATATTAAAAAATATAAAACTTTTCAAAACTAGGTAAGACATAAGAAAAACTTTTTTTTTTCTTTCCTTCAAAACAAACGTTTATCAGCATACAGAGCAAAAAGAAACTCAAAAGGGGTGTTATTAATGGAAAACATTCATAAACATCAATATTTTATGGGTTTAAGGCAAAAACATTAAGAACCCTGTAATAATTAAGTTTCATACCAGTGAAAGCAAAAAAAAAAAATTTTTAAAGAGTTTTTTTCATGCTTAAATTTGGGTTTTTATTATTATTTAAACTATATCTTTTTGGGGGGGGTGAGAGATATAAGCTTAATAAAATATTTTATGCAAATAAAGTAACAGTAGCTAAATAATGAAAAATTATTCTATGAAAATGCTACTTAATACTTTAGAAAAAAAAACAACTTATAAATATCCATTACTTGATCAAAAAATATATACAGTGAACTCTCGCTACTAC